GTATAACCAGCTCTTGCCACTGCATCCTGGTCAGCACCTGCCTGGAGAAGCACATTTATCAAATTCTGATGGCCAGCTTGGGCTGCTACATGCAGTGCCGTATAGTCGTTGTTTTTGGCATCCTTGTCAACAGCTGCCTGCAGCAGTATAGCTACCACACTTGCATCTACTACACTGTCACTTGCCCTGAAGAGTCGTTTTATCGGATCTGCTTCAAACTCTTCACATAATTCGATTGTTTTCAACCCTATGGGACTTGGTGCACAGGTCCTGTTGACCAGATCTGATGCTTCGGACTCTCCGGACCAAGAAGTCTCATCGGAGCGGTCTGAGGGGTCCATCAAGCCCCGCTGCTGAATCTGCCTGCACACTGCATGAGCCTGTTCTTCAGATATCCCTTGCTGCATCAAAATGGTCATCATTTCTGCCTGGAAATTCCCGTCTCTGGTCATTTCAGTGTGGGGAAGGGATCCAGATCTAGCATCTTCGCTTCTTGCCTCGTCTTCCATGTCGGCCTCCATCTGCCTGCGATCACTCCGCGAAACAACCGTATGCGCAGCCTGCCTGGCAGTGTGCCTCTGCCTCAAATGACGGCCCTCAATGAAACGTGCTTGTTGGCGAATGTCTTGGAGCACTCCATTCCTTCTCTCGCCTTAGATCAAACGCGGATCAAGAAATCTGAAGATCCGGGACTGTTCGTTGAAAAAGGGCATCATGCTGAACTTAATATTTATTGATATTAATAGAATTTAATTGATGTTATATTGAGTGCCCAACAATTTGTTTTCCCGGCCAAGGGAACTATTGCAAAGCTACGCAGCTGCTGCACCCATAGCCTTCCTTAAGACATTTACAGTAATGAAAACCGACAAACAAACAGATCGATACGTGTGCGTGCATTACATTGACAGAACTTATTCGATCCTGGTGTTTCTTGTGAAAGTTGTGTCAGGCAAACAACACATAATATATAAACTACCTCTTACTCCAAAGAAGCACCCCAGGAGATAGGTGGAGATAGGCGAACTTGGATTACCAAACCCAAATATCTGTTCACCAAAACGCCAACTCTGGATCTTTGTTTGAAAACAAACTCACCTTATCCTTTAGGGCACCTCCTGGCCCCTGGTGATCAAACCCTTGAATATCTGGCACCAGTAGTAGCCGCCTAGGGCCGCTGTACAACAAGGTTTCCTGTCCACCTTGGAAGAATCTCCCACAAAAATGGCCTTGGTCATGGGGATTTTTTGGAGGATGGCCTGGGTTCTAGGTTGTGACAGATATGAACACCTTGCTCAGAATGCCTGTCGGTCAACAGCGTGGTGTTCAAGGGGATGCTAGAAAAGTATCCCATCTCCTCCATGCTTTATGGGAAACACAGGCAAACAAAAAGCAATCCAAAAGCAACTCAGAGTGACTCAAATTTGTCATCGCTCTTCTCAAATTGATGTGGGCGGCTCGAGGAGTGATCTCACCTGTGGCATCATCATCATCATCATCATCATCATCATGATGGACTTCATGGTCATGGACTTCAGAACTCCACGGCTGATTCACCAGGAGTGGCTTTACCCAGAGCAAAATATTCCGAGCAAATGCTTCTTGCTGCTCTTCGATGGAGACGTCTTCATTCCCTTCCACTGACACTGGGTCAGCGGCAAATAAACATGCATGTCCATCCATAAAGGCTTTCATGTCCTGCACCTGCGCTGTCCACCATCTTGTGTCCACACGCTCTTTGGCGTATTTGCTGGCCACCCTCAGCGATGAGGTCATTTGCAGGTCGGCCGGCACAAAGGCCAGCACCTTTGCCAGCACATCGGCTGGCAGCGCCATGAGGTAGCAGCCAAGTGGGCGATAGCAAACAAATAAATGGACATGATGAAACCATTTTGACTTGCCTGTGACACTTGCCCATGTGAGCATGATGTGTTGTTGCAAAAACATTATACAAATTATATATAGCTATGCCATGCGCAGCTTTTCTGGAGAGGACGGTTTTTGAATGCTCTGCTTTGGTGTCTAGTCACTGACTAGAGCTGTTGCACAAGGCACCTTTGAGCCTTTCAAGTCAAGCCACCAAAGCTTGGACACACATTTCAATAGATGCCCAAACCGACTGCAACTCTCAGTTTCAGTTGGCTTCGTCAGAGGTCTTTGGCAAAAAACACCACTAAGCCGAGTCGAACACGACTAAGCCGACGCCGAGTCGGCTCCACAGGCGCTCCTGCAGTGGCTCCTTCTCCCTCCGCCCGCATCCAGGCACGCTCGGCCTCCAAGTCCTGGTCGACTCAAGGGGCCCGGATTTGGAGGGGCCCAAAGAACCTGCCAACATGTTGGAGGTGGTGAAAAAACCACATGATGACATGGAATTGCTTCTATGGAATTGCTTTAACATGCTTTAAAATTCTTCAAAACACTGAGGTGCCAAAATGCTTGGAATGGCTTCAAATGTCAAGACATTGGAGTCCCAAATTGCTTGAACATCAAGTTTGAAGAGTTGGAACGTTTTGACTCGCGTTGTGTGAGTGTAGATGCCGATCACCCAAAACTGAAGCAAAAGAACAAGCATCAATCATGATATATAACTCTTGGATCTTCTTCACACCGGCATCCTGACAAGATCTGGGAACATCCACTGAGTCAATGCTTTGGGGTGTCAAGTTGGATCCTTTTGTGAGATCGTTCAACCTCACCTTTCCCCAAGAGTCCATGGAATCATGATTATCTTGAAGTCTCCATGACCCCCAGCAACACTGGGCAGTAGCGTGCAGCAAGCCACAAGCCCTTGGGTGGGAGAATCTTAACGTCCAACTGACCTTTGGGGAGAACCCTTTTTACAAAATACACCGGAGAAAACCCTAGAGAAACTAAGCCCGGTTCACAGTTCATGGCAGGTCAATTTTCAACACACTGTCAGCTGGGAGAGAATCTGGCACGAATAAGGAACCAGCAGTGATTGTACCTGAGAGATGATAAACAATGACCTCTCCCCTCAACATCCAATAACCAGCTTTGGGAAAATGTTTTTCTTTTAACCAACGTCCTCCAACTCACCTCAACACCTTTTGGGAGGTCTCTGGACCCTAACCGTCACCTTTACAAAAGAGTCCCTCTGCTCCCGGACGAATTTACAAAAAGAATCCAGAAAAAGAAGACAAGATCGATGCGTCCCCTTCTGGGGTCATAGCTTGGACTCTTTTTGCCTTACCGATTTCCACGGCACCTCCCCACAGCGACTTCTTCGGAGCCGCCCGAGGTTTCTTCGGATTTGGGTCCGTCGGCCTCGGTGAGCTTGTGGCCACCGGCCATGTCGTTCCAGCGTTCGTATCCAGCTGCGAGCTCCTGTGGCCACATGCGATCGTGCTCGAAACCTGAAAAAAGAATGCGTGTCACACCCTATTAGGCCAAGGGCACGATTGGGATCAGCCCTCCCTTGAAGACATCCGCTCATGTCAGTCTCCCGATCATCCACTTCTGATGGACTGCGTAAGTTGGTAGTATAGACGTGGACAGTGGACGATTTTCGTGTGGAGTAGACATAAGTTTTTGTCCACTGAGTTCAGTTGTAGAAGATTTCTGCTGAGCTTGGTGAGTGTTGATGAGTCTCGATCCAAAGCTGACAGTTCAGGATCCCAGGATCCTGATCACCCAAATTGATGAGTCTAGCCACCTATAGCCTTTCGATCGGTTGATTTCCTGACATGCCTGACGGCCCGGACCTCCGGACGTGTGCCCTGTTAGGGTGGCAGTCTTCATTGATCATTCAAAGCTTGTTTGTTTGAAAAAAACGCCGCTGAAGTCGGCCTCCCATAGAGAATTTCAGCTCAATAGTGAAGGTCTATGGTCCATGGTCAAGGCTCCTACTATGTTCCTGAAAATACCCAGCACTATCCTATCTCAAACAAAATTATGTAATATTGTGATATATATATATATATAAGTTTGATGACAAAGTTATATTTGTAAACCCTGTGGATGAAAGCATCTTGTCTCCCAAACGACCTCTGTTTGGGGTCCATGTGTCTCCCACACTCAGGAAGGGTGGTGAATCGAAATGAAACAGAAGATCAGTTCAGTGTGTCCTACAACAAGTGTTGCAAGTTTAGCTCATCAGAATACTCTAAGACCTGTTTGAGGTGCTCTTCTAAACGTCTGGATGAGCGGAGCTTCTGTCAGTGTTTAAGTTGGTCCAACGAAGTGTCCTCCAGCGCCCATCTTTCCCACGGGAAATTTGGAATACACTACTGGGTCACTACCACTGTGTATGAGTCGCAACGGGTCACTAGACATGGAAAAGTGAGTGCTTTCTATCCAAAACTCTTACACACGATCTCTCTGCAATTTTTTTAGTACAGCACACTTACAGTAACTGTAGTACACCTATCACTGCCCGCCTATGCTGCTTCTCCACTGAGTCCACACCTACCATAGCCCCGTTCCCAAGCCCCGCCACCGGCCCGACCGATCCACCGGTCCCCAAACCGTCGGACGCAGCGAGGACGTCCTCCAGTCGATGGGCGATGCAGCCGAGGACGTCCTCCGCCACGAGCGCCACCACCATGGAGGAATCCACCTGTGGGGGCACCGCCATGTGGCACCCGCGCACACACAGCGAAGCGAAGGTGGGCCACTTGGAAGCAGTTGGGTATAGCTTGTTCTTGAAAGATCCAAATTCTTCGGGTCAATTCAGACATGATGTTCTAAACACCCATGTACAATGCATTCCCAAGGAAGGAACACTCTTTCAGGCATATGAAGGACCATGAGTCTCACATTTGGTGACTTTGAAGAGTGGCCACCTGTCTCCTATAGCCATTCTCCGACATGGCCGCTTGTAAATCAAACAGTTCAAACGAGATCAAACAAGAATTCTACTGCCACCGCATACATCATCGTCTTCATCTTGCTCCTTCTTAAACCTTAACACATCTTCAACTGCAACTTAGGTCAAGCAGATCTCCAGAATTTAAACCTGCTAAAAGTCGTATTATAATCCAGTCGAATCCTTATCTTTCTCAACCAGCCATATATACCAGCCCTCCCTCCCAAGCCCCACGTGTTTCCGAACCGCCACCTACCCACCCGTCCGTCTCACACGCTCTCCGCGCTCCGTCCGCGCTCCGTCCGCGCTCCGTCCGCGCTCCGTCCACGCTCCGTCCACGCTCTACCGCCCTACGCGGCCGCCTCCACGGCGAAGAGCACCATGTGGAGCATGGCATCCAACGACTCCGCCGCGCTGAGGCGCTGCGCCGCGTCCATCCGCGACCTCGAACGGAGAGGCGCCCGGAGACGCGTGTCGCGAGCGCGAGCACACGCGCCGTGCGCGCCGTGCGCTCTGTGCAATCAGCAGCTGAGAACACGCAGTGGCACGCCGTGGTGAACGTGCAAAGACATGGAGGAGGGAGAGGGAACTGAGTGAAGTCGGAAGGTATTTTGTTGGATGGTAAACAAGCGACTTCTCTCAGCGCGGTGTGAGGGCTCATCCGCTTCATCAGAACCCTTCTCCGCGCTGGCCATTCAAAACGAAAAGCATAAACACAAATAGATAAATTCGCAGGTCAAGGCGCCTGGCTTAGTGGTGGCAAAGGGTGAAACACTTGCATATGCGGTGACACTTGCATATGCGGTGCATGACCATACTGCCCAATGCTGCCAATGCTTAGTCACTTTGTAGTCTATACTATATGACATCTATTACTAAGTAATGGTCTGTCAAATAACTATATACATCCAATTACTCATCTAATTGCCTTCTTGCCACACAGTTGGACATTACTTGGGACTCCCAACAGTTCATCGACACGTCATCGTCGTTGGACCCCTTGGGCCCCTGAAACATCGAGAAAGTCACCACAAACCTGGGCTCCCTTCCTTTCCATCCATCTCAGTCTGACCAGTGTGGTATCGGAATCCTCCAGGTGTGGCCGGAATCTGCCCGGGTGTGGCCGGATTCTGCCATCGTCTCTTGGGCGGCCCGAGCTCCAAGATCTTCTTGCCATGAACCTTGAACCATCCAACCTCGGCCACGAGCGAAAGCGCGAGCGAGCTCGCTGGAGCAGCTGTTCCGAAGCAGCAGCTTCCCGGGTGTTGTGGCGATGGCTCACAGAGCTCAGTTGCCACCAGTGATCAGATATGCTTTTGCTGAAAGACCGGTGAAACTCGAGTGGAACTATTTCTGGTATATTCTTTCTTCTGGGGTATCCCAAAAGAAACTATTTCTTCTGGTATAGTGAAACTATTTCTGGGGTATCCCAGATTTCATGTCTTCACTGATAGTTGTGGGTCCTGCAATGGTGGAATATAGTCTTTCGACGGGTAACATCATGTGGCTGCCGGGTGGTTGCACCACCCCCTATATATTATGCGAGTGAATCAGGATAGCATACCCCAGTTGCAGAGATGTGGAAAAGAAACACAACTATTCCCGGCCACTCTATTGCGTGATGAGATGAGATGCTAGGAAGTTGGAAGTTCCTCCTTGAGCACCTGCGCAGTTGCAGTATTGCAGGTCTGCAGCATCTGAATGCATTTCATGGAGGGTACACTTGCCCTGGGAAACCAGCCCCAGAAGAATCGAGTGATGGGTATCTCAGCTTAGCCCGTTGAAAGCCGAGGAAGAAAAGCCTCCAAAGGTTTTCAGCACCTCTTTGGGTGAACTCAGAATTGCAGGGACATGCAGGGACTGCTTCTGTGGTAGATCTTGGACACCTCCAAAACCTTACCAAGGGACAGCCTTTTTGCTGAAATGAGGCATCCCCAGACCAACATACTCTCCAAATGTCACCCTATAAAATATATAGTTACATGGCATCACTGCATGTTGACGATTTGATTCATCAAACCTATATATATATACTCTTCCTCAAGCTA